AAAATATGTTTCTTCTTTTTTTTTCATAGTTCTATAATGATCTGACACCATTATTACTTAAATTTCAAAATAAAGTATCAGATTTTGTATTTGCTCGTAAAACAGAAAAAGAAGATTTAATGAAAGATATTCAACGAGGAATTGTTGGCGGAAATCCTGCACCACCACCAACAACAACACAACAAAGTGGTATGAAAAAAACTATTATTTAAAGATTAATATAATTTTCATTTTATTTCTTTAGCAAATAATCCATATGCATCAAGTGTTGCTCCAACATATCCACCATCGCAACAACCATCAGCTCCAGCAACTGATGGTGTACCACCGACAACAGCACCTGGTAAGAATAAAATTTAAAAAGAGAAAACAAAATTATTTATTTAGTTTATTCTCTAGATGGTTCTGCATTACCATATCCAAATTCATATATGCAACCATTTTTTCCAATGCCACCAGGTTATAATCCATATAATCCATTTTCGAATATGAGTAAGTTTATTAAGTTCAATTTATGTATGATATTAATCTGTTTTATTTGCTCTAGCGGCATCGCCATATCCTATGGGTGGAGCTTCGCAATACCCACAACAAGGTAAGTTTTTTTTTCAAATGTTTACAAAATAATTTGTGTTTTTTAGGTTATGGTGTTGAGAAACCTCAACCAGGTGGTAAAAAGAAATGATACACTTTTTCTTCGTAGACAAAATAAAGCTTATCTTTTAAATTATTCAACTTTGTCTTGTATGATCAAATGAATGTACTTCTTCTTCTTTGTTATTATATATATATACTATATATTCACCTCTTTTTCTTGAGATCTGCTTCTTCTTTTTCTCTTATACGTTTCCGGTGTTATCGTTAAGATCATGAACACTCAGACACAAGAAACCTCAATGTATTCTGCTGCTTTGTGTACGTTTGTCTACTATTATTTTTTTTTTTTGTCGTTTTTATTGTCCTTTTATTCTCTACATATTCTCATTTTCTGGATAAATAAAAACAACATTTGCATCGAAAAAAAAGCGTTTTTTTCAAAAAGTAAAAGGAAAAATCATCATCATTCTCTTGTTTGTATTGATTGATGAGACGAATTTTCTACATTGGGACTATTTGAAAACTATTAATCTGGTTATTAAGAGTAGGAGTGTCAGTTTTCGATTCTGTACCTCGGTACATAAACCCAAGATGTGGTTTCTATTGCTAGAAACACAAATCATATCCTAGGTTTTTATTAGGGATGGAACTATAAACAGGCACTCCTAGTTTCGGACTCGAAATTCCTCATTTTCAAGAGATCTGAAAATCTGAACTGAGATTTTGAGGTCAAGATCAAGCACATCTGAAAGAGCATAGTCAAAAACCTATTATCCGTTGTTTTGCCTTAATAAAAATGTCAATCGCTTAAATAGAGAAGCATGCAATTCAACATCTTGTTTGAAACATCATTAGCACTGTATTTAAAAATTTCACTGTATCACCCTTTTTTTTCAGTGTATTGCTGATCTAAAAATTATGGATAATAGGTTTTGGATTATGCTCTTTCAGATGCGCTAGTTCTCGACCTTAAAAGTTCGAGTTCAGATTTTTGAATCTCTAGAAAACCAGAAGTTTCGGATCAAAAACTAGGAGTGTCAGTTTTCGATTCCTTATCCAGGATGTGGTAGATAGCTGAAAGCATTCGAAAATCCATTTAAAGTATTGTAAAAATGTATTCGTGTTTCTTGAAGAAACAAACTTCTAGGAACACCAACATTGATACCCATAATTAAGAGCCTGTTTGGAAAAAAAAAGTAAAACTTGAAAATACAACATGGTTAGATTGGAAAGAAATCATTCACAGTTTAAAGGCTCAATTTACTAAAGTTTTTGTTTTATAAAGCTTACAAAACGTTGTATTTATGATGTAATTGTCAATAAAATGTGTTTGTGACAAGTGTATAGAATAATAAATTATAGTGAACCTATAATATTAAAGAAAATTGCAATGAAATCTTCATACCTTTGACTGCAATTCTAAACATGCAAATGGCGTTAGAAACATGTTTATCTCATTAAAGAAACCATTCAATGTTTCTTTTGAGACCGAAAAAATATTAAAAGATAACAACAGTTAGTTATCGACGTATTTATTTTAATAAAAGAAAATTGTTTCGTGTTTTACTTTATTTATTTCAGTTTTTATAACATATTTAATAATGCTATTTTTTTGTTTTCAGAAATGAAAAAGTCTGTTTATTCTTAGAAGGAGGAGGTCTGGTATTTGTTTCACTAATGGGTTTCGAATAAAATCTAATATCTGATGAGAGAGATTTACTCATTGAAAGACCACGTCGAGATTCAACACGTTTCATAAAAGCTTGCGATGTTTCACCATCTGGAAGTACATTCATTGGTAAAGAATTTGGTTGATTGACAAGTATTACTTCAGCATTGGCTGGTAAAAGTTGTACATTATTATGTTGTTCAAATAATTGTTTAATTTGATCTTCTGTACATATTTCTTGCCAAATAGTTAGTCGTGTTTGATGAATTGTACGAGGATAAATAACACGATGAATACCAGATTTAAAACGATTTCCAGTAAGAATGCTTGCTGCTTCACCCAGCCAAATAACACCAATATTAGATTGATCAACTTGAGAATTATTTGGTCCATCGATCCATTTATTTTCACATTGATCTTTCAATTGAAGGCCATCACATGTTGAAAGTATACTTAATGAAAATAGACCAGGATCATAATGTGGTACACAATTAACTTCATCCGTATTGTAACCAACTTCGGGTATTTTTGTTGGACCAGTTTTTTTATTAAAATAATAGACAATATCAAGCATTCCAAAAGCAGATAATTCTACTTGTTTGGATGGTTTATCATTTGATACAGTTAATTTTGTAATTATTGGTTTTAAACGGTAAGTTAAATCATTGATTAATTGACTAATATGTTGTAATGTTGCTTCAATGTTCATCGGTAAAGCAGATTGAGAATCAATGATACCTTGTTGATTAGTTAATATTTTAATACCTTCTTTATGACCAACATATGAATAACCAAATGCATTTGATGATAAATAACGAGATTTTTCTATTTGATCAAGTGCAAAAAAATTCGAAAGAGATTTATTAATATGATTTAATTCTGTTACGAATGAACGACTATTGTGAGACAAACGTACAAAACACCAACCATTCGTTTCGAATGCTTGTTGTAATCTTAAAATTTCTAATGGATCATCGAGAAACAATTTCTCAAGATCAAGAAGTGGATGATTATTGAATTCGGTCGACATGAATATAAGAACGTGATATTAAAAAGTTACAACTTTCATGTATGATATTTATATTACATGTTATTGCTCAATCATTGATGTCAAAATGATTCATTTCTTACATAGCTGATGAGTTGGTAATGAGTCAACTAAAAACTTAAAGTAAATATGAACTGCTTAATAACAAGTTTCTTCGTTACTATAACATTTATTTTTATGAATCTGATCCATCTTTTTCTACTGCTGCTAAATTTTGTTTTTAGTTTGCCAAGAGTTTCAATTTTCTATTTGTTCAGCTGTTGTTTCAAATATTTCTAGACTAAATAGTCCATGAGAGCTGCATCAGTTGACTTGGGTTTAACATAATTTATTTTTGATTCATTCAAAAAAAAAGCAATGATTTTCTTCGAAATGTGACTAGGGGTATTGTTTTGAGGAAAAACTATTTTTGTCTTTTCATTGTTTCGAAACAAACGAGGAATAATTACATGATTAAAATGGCTTCAAAATATTGTCAATGTAATAATTAAAATCAATTTTGACAGCAGGCTTAACAAGATGAAGAGATGGATCTTGTTGAATTATCATTCTTTCATAGTCTGGACTGTCTTTTTTGTGCGACAAATTTTCATTTCTCCTTCAATGCCATCGAGATAGAACCAAGATTCGTCAGTCACGATGAGACTTTTATAGCGACTACTAGCGCTAATATTCGATAAAGTTGGCGTTTGATAATGTTAATTTTGTTAACTTTTAGTTTTTTACGAAAAGTGAAGTTAGCAAATTTTATGATTCTTGAAGTAGTAGATTAGCTTACATGACCAAATTTGATAATCGAACGTTGAGTAGAAAGATTCTAGACGTCAATTGTTTGAATTACTTTTAATAGATTCGATAATTTAGCTACTGATCGTTTTCGAGAACATTTAATTTTTTCAATAGAATTATATTGATCGGCAATCTTTCATTTAACATTAGATACAGATTTTTTTTGAGATATACTGATTCTATCATTTTTCAAAATTTTAACTAGCATTACTTTGAAAAGAGAATCAACATACAAAGAGATAGAGAATGATCTTCGCCTACCACATGACATGATCATGCAATTTTTCCTTTCTTTCCTGTGAAGCGCATATGATATTTCAAAACTAATAAAAATAGGTAAATTATACTGTACAATTCATATTAAAATAAATTGAAATCAATTCATTTCTAGATCATTATTTCGTAATATTTTAGCCTGCTAGTGTATTTTAATAAGAACAATAACTAGATATTGCTTTCAATATGATTATTGTCGGATATGATGAAATAGGATTTTTATATATTACCTAGACGTTTACTAAAAATGACTTTTCGATCAAAAACAAAATAAACAAAAACTAATGAGATTGGTTATCTTCAAAGTGTTTAATAATGCTAGAAAAACAGACAACTATCAAAATTGCCTTAGATTAATAAAAGAATAAGAACGTGTATTAAACATGCCTACATAACACGAAGTAAAACTTATTTATTACCGACATTGTGCGACATCGTATTCTAGTATATATCTACTTCAAAAGAAAGGTTAATAACAGCGAATGAGTTGGTCTATCCAAGAAATATAAATGAAACGTGTAAAATCGTTCTTCAAGTACTTCACATTCGAAAACCTGTTTTCTTTTTCTTTTGTTTCTCATTGCACTAGTTTTCTATTAAGATTATCATTTTCTATCAACAATGGCAGATGAATTAGCTAACCGTATTACAAATGAATTAAAAGATCGTCTACCTGATATTACTAATAAAAATGTTCTAGCTATTGTCAATGATGTAGAACAGTAATTGTATTATATCAATTTATTATTCATTTGATTTTTCTTTTTTCTTTTATTTAGTCCAACATTTTATACAAAACTATTATCGAATACTGAACAATTGATTGTATTCACAGAATCATCTAATATTTATAAACAATTAGATGAAAAATCAGAAAATTTTCAAAAAACACCGATATTAAATTGTGCTAAATTTAATAATGCTGAATTACAAAATAATTTGTAAAAGTATTTGATATAAAAATTAATTTGAATGAAATTGTTTTTTTTCTTAGATTTGATGTTATTCTTCTTATTAAATCATTTAATCGATTAAGTGTTGATGAGAAACAAAAAATGTTAAAAAATCTTTTAAAAACTCTTAAAGTTAATGGTCAAGTTTTTGTTTATGAAAGTGAATGGTCAAAAGATAATGGTATGAATATAAAAACGATTCTTTTCTATTAAAATTTTATTGTTTAATTTTGTTAAGAAAATCATTTAAATAATCCAGTTGATCTTATTCATTATTTTAATTCTGCTATAATAACTGAAAATGAAAAATATGGTTTTGAATTTATTTCTTCACGACCATTGCGTAGTTATGTTGAAGTAAATATAAATCAAATGTATTATTGTTTTTATTTAATGTTTTATTGAAATTTAAAATATTTTCTAGAGTAAACAAGAATCATTTCATATTTGTTATATTTTTAAAAAAATTACTAAACAAGACGATCATGCAACATTACAAGATTTTCTTGATCAACAACAATATTCTACACGTGGTGTTTTATCTTATGAAAGAATTTTTGGATCTGGTTTTGTATCAACTGGTGGTCCAGATACAACAAAGGTTTGCTTATTGTTAAACAAAATAAAAATGATAATTATCTATTAGAATAGAATTTATAGCAAATTAAGATCGCTGATATTCTCTATCGTTATTATTTGTTTCATAATAAAATAATAATAGAGTATTATACCGATATAATCGGAAGAATATCCATCATTATTATTAACATAGGATCGATTGTTAGCAATACTTTGAGTAAGATGATTTAGAGGAATTTCATCAACATGTATTTCTGTTTTTATTAAGAACAAATAAATAATCGATGAGATCAAACTATAAAAAATTAAATATTTATTCTTTAGTTAGAAAAAATATTTGTATTGTTTAGGAATTTGTTGAATCATTTAATCTTAAAAGTGATCAACACGTTTTGGACGTTGGTTGTGGTATTGGTGGAGGTGATTTTTATATGGCTAAGGTATAGTTTTATAAACTGATTACAAGTTTATTGTTTTGTTTTTCAAAAAGACATATGGATGTTCGGTAATTGGTGTTGATTTATCTACTAATATGGTTAGTATTGCTTATGAACGGTTAATGAGTATGTCAGCTAATAAGCTTAAGGTAAAATTCGTTGTTTGTGTTCTATTACTAAAATATTTAACATATATAAATTTAGGTATCATTTGAAATTGGTGATGTACTACATCATGAGTTCAAAGCAAATTCATTTGATGTTGTCTATAGTCGTGATACAATTTTACATATTGCTGATAAGATGAGTCTATTTTCTCGTCTTTATGTAAGATGAATTTTATGGAAACAAAATTTTTCTTTATTCTCTTTTTTTTTCTTTTTTTATTGAACAGGGTTGGCTTAAACCTGGTGGTCAATTATTTATTTCTGATTATGCATGTGCACCGAAAAATGAATGGTCAAAAGAATTTGAAGACTATGTCAGTCAAAGACGATATGTACTTTTAACTGTACCAGAATATGGCAAAGTAAGGCTAAATATATATATGTGTAAGTGATTTTCTTTTATTTTATTGAATTAGCTCTTGGAAAGTGTTGGTTTTAAAAATGTTAATGCTCAAGATGCAACGGATAAATTTGTTGAATGTCTTAAGATGGAATTAACACGAATTGAATCAATTAAAGATGATTTTATTCGAGTATGTCTATTTTGAGGTGTTTTTAGTTCATTCGTCAATTGAAATACCTGATTTTTCTTTTTTTTTTTCGAAGGAATTTTCCAGTGATGATTATGATCATTTAATTGAAGGTTGGCATAAAAAACTTGAACGATGTGCCAAAGGTGATCAACGATGGGGTATTTTTCGAGCAAGAAAATGAAATAAAACAATGAGTAACAATCAAATTGTGCTGCTATCAACACAGTGAAGTTTTTAGCGAAAAAGAAATTTATTATGTTTTAAACTTCATTGCTCGTAAAAATAAAATAAAAAGATTAGCATCGTTATTTCTCAGCTGCCTGGGAACTAATCTATAAGCATTACAGTGCAATATGAATAGACAAAAAAAAGTTCGAAGGGCATGAGAATATCATCTTTTTTTGTGTCGTCGATTTGCATTCTTTATCGGTTTTTTTTCAAACATTTTTATCGAAGAAAAATATAACATATGAATATTATCTTCCTATCGATAAAATACATATTAAGTACAATGGCAATGATAAGAGTATGTGATATAATGCTGCTCTATTATCAATGAACTTTGATATATGACTACGCAAATGACGCCTAGAAAACGAATTAATAAGACACAATATGTTACATGAATATATAATCATCATTTAGGAAGATAAAACTATATTGGTGAATTTTTTTCAAGACAAGCAAATCTTAATAAATATTGAAACACAAGAAATAGACATAATGTATTTGTGTAATGTGATCTCACAAAGTCAATATTATTTTTCTATTTATGAATAGAATGAGGATAAAACTTTTTTTTTCAAATCATTTTGTAAAATATATTAGAAATTCAAAGTATATCTATATAAACGAGCTACAATTGATTTCGAAATCTGTCTTTTAAATTGAATATATTTCAACAAAATAAAAATTTAATATAATTCTCTAAAATATGGTTTTCTCTTCAATAAATGATCTCTTTGTGATTCTTGTAACATGGGTTGTGTCTTTCTCGAAACGGACTTTAGATACAGGGTGTCCCATAAGTTGTGGCAGATTTTTTTAAAATCTACTTAAAAAAAATCTGCCACAACTTATGTGATACCCTGTATATATTCAAAAGGGAGTTCACATAATGAGAAACAAATTTCATGTAGACTAGATGCATAAAAAATGAATAATTTTTTTTAGTAGAGCATACGTAAGAAATAACAGTCCGTAAATGATCGAAAGTAGTAAACATAATAAGTTTTTTTTCATTATTTCAAACAATGTAAGATATAATTTTTAACAACTATGCTAATGAATATGGAGAAGAAATATAGTATGAACAAATTGAATCTTTCCAAATGATTTAACAATATTTGACAGACTCTTATAAATGTAAAATAGTCTTCATTTTTGAATACAATTAATTAAAATCTACAAACGGTTCAGTGAACAATGAACATCATCTATATTTATGTTGATTTTTCAAAAAAAAAAACATTAAATCAAACTAAACTTTAAACATTATTCTGACAAGTTTTCATATTATGTAAAAAAAGAAATCGAATAACGTTTTTTTTTTTCTAAATTTCAATCGAAAATACGTTATCAATACAAGCTATAAAGCGAAAGTGTATATGATACAAATGAATTAACGACATTTATTGCTTTGTTCAACATGTATCAATCAAAAAGAGAAAGAAAAGAGCAAAAATAAAACGAGCCAAGTGTACTTTATTCGTTTTTTTTTGTTGACTTCAACAACGGTCAGTATTGTGATCTCTTTCGTTATATCCTCACTCTTACATTATTCGATAAATCCTATTAACGTCATACAATATTCATATTAACTATGTTATTTATGTTTATAACATACATTCTTTTTCTTATCCGATTTTCCTTCGGTGATGAATGTCCATCATTAAAGTATTGTACATGTTCATCAGATAAAACTATAATACAATGTACAAAGCGTCAATTAACGAACAAACTATTATTAAAGCTCAATAATCAATTATCTAAATCAACAATTCTCTTAAATCTTTCATCAAATTCTTTAACATCAATTAATTCTTTATCAAATTTAAATTCACTTCAAATACTTGATCTATCATTTAATAAAATTCAACATTTACCATCAAATATATTTTCTAAATATCCTCAATTAATTTCTTTAAATCTACAAAATAATTCATTAAAAACAATTCCAAAAAGTTTTACAAAAATTTCAAATATAAATCTTAATCTATTAAATAATCGATTTCATTGTACATGTGAATTTAAATTGTTTAAAAAAAATAATTTTTTTAAAAATGTTATCTGTCAAAATAATAAACCATTCAATGAAAATAATTTTTGTCATATAAAAAATTTTCTTCAAATTAATCCTCAACAATCACAAATTGCTTATGAAAATGAACAATTTATATTAAATTGTTCATCAAATTTACAACATTATTGGACATTAAATAAAAAATTCTATCCATCTACTATGACAACATTTTCATATTCAACAATAATTATTCATCATTTACAAATGAATCATTCAGGATTATGGACATGTCATAGTTTCAATTATAATCATTCAATACGGCTAACTGTTTTAAAAAGTTCACCGAATTATTTTTGTCAATCAATACAAATGAATACATCAAAAGGTTATTTTTATTGGCCACGTACATCAATTAATAAAAAACTTCCAAAATATTGTCCTTTTGGTTCAGCAGCATGGTTAAAAAATTCAAATGAATATGCTCAAGCATGGTATACTTGTTCATCTAAAGGACAATGGATTAATTTTGATATATCACAATGTGCATTTCAAACAAATATATCACGAGTATTTGATTATTTATCATTAAATGAAACAAATTTATTATTAAATTTAGTTGAATATCTATCAGAAATAAATCAAGATTATTTACAATTAAATGATATGATTTTATTAATTGATTTAATTGATGAACAAAAAGATAAATATCAACAGCACGATAGAATGATTTTAATTTATCATTTAACAGATTTTATTTTACAAATTAAAAAAAATGATTTTATTTTTTCAAATGTATATCAAATTGCAATAAAAAGGTTTAAAAAAAAAGCTTTTTATAGTTTTTTTTTTTTCAATAATTTATTTTTATTATTTAGATTAAGATTGATAATAGAACATTTATTGGATTTTACTAATCAATCTTGGTTATATATTGGAAAAGAATTAACTGCTATGACAATACAATCATCAACATTATGTTATGTACCTAATCGATCATTGTTAACAATTATTTGTGACATTGATAATCAATCTCATGAGGTTTGTTGACACATGAGAATTCGTTGGATAGCCGAAGTGTCGTCAGTATATCCCCCTGTAGTTTTACTAATTTGAGTCTAAATTAGATGCGAATTAAAAAATTTCTATCGACTACATTGATCGGTTATGTTACTTACCTTATTAGTAAATCTATTTGTTACACCAGAGAAGGAATGAAAAACAAGAATGATGTTTTCAAATCAGACTTATCTGACTCTTGGTCCGATGAATATTACGTTATGCTTTATTATCTGTTTTTTTTTAATATTAATCTGATTTTTTCGTATTAAAATCTAGAATTGCTCATATTCGAATGTATCCTCACTATGGCAATAATATATAAATATATTCTAACAATATTAGCTTCAGTCCACACTAGAGGATGTGGGTGTAGGTGTGGGTGTTTTTTTCTATTTTTCCATTTAATATTATTTGGCTATTGAATTGACAGTTTTCGTTTACTGGACGTTACAATTGTCAACAACACACACTACATAAGAAAAAAATGAAAGACGATTTTCAGAGTTTCTATAATTTACATTGATTCCAGCTGCAATACAGAGCTCTAGTCCTCACATGTATTCTATATAAATATTGTTCGATAATTCCTGATGAAATCTCCCTGAGTATTTGTCATTGACGAAAGATTTATTTGCTAAATTCTGGATGCCTAAGTCGTTTTCTTTTTCAGTCTCCATTAGCAACAATTCAATTTCCATCTCATTTGAATGAAACAAGTCAATATTCATTGTATCGTATTATTATTTATCGCCGATCGACATTATTCACATCGAATGTGATAGCCAATAACAATAATCCTGTTATTCATATACGACCAGGTAAAAATGTCAAACTTTTCTGTTTGAATAAGACTACAACATAAGTAAAGATGTGTGAGACTAAATTTTTTTAAACTAGGTTCCGATCTAGAGAGAAACTATTCCAGAATTTATTTGTATAATATGTGAAAAATAAATTCTTAAATATTTCTCTTTAATTGATTTCTTTCACACATTTCTAAACATGAAAGAATAAATCTAAAAACTGGCGTACTACTCATATTTAAATCTTACTAACGGCTGATTCATTTAAATGAATTTAACTAGAGAAAATTTTCTAGATTGTATTGTTACATTGATATGATAACTTGAACATAAATCCTAAGTTTGTCATTTATGATGACTTTGATACGGTTATAATACTTTAATTAAGACATTAGTATCATCGTTTGACTCAGATTTAGCATATCCAGTTTGTCAAATCGGAATTTATATTTCGATAAAGATTGTTTCCTATTTGACTATATGCTTTATTGATAGTTATTTTCTTGTATCTTTTAAAAAAAAGAGAGAGTTAAGACTAGTGATTAATGATTGCTGTACTTGTTTGAAGATTTTTATTTTTCATTGAAAACAATTTTAAGAATCAAAATGATTATTCACTGCGACTGATTTTAATCTGTTGGTCAATTTTCCATATTAATGAAGGAACATTTCCAGATGATAAAAAACTTTTGAGTTCAAATATTGTCCACAAGTAGGAAAAATATTGACTAGAAAAACTCAAGAGAATATGACGTCAGCTGCAATTCAATTGAGACACCATTGGCTTTTTACTATGATTTTCCTTCAGCAATCTTTTTCCTCGATAAAGTCAAGCTTTCCAATTGTGACCTAAAACTCCTTGTATCAAGATTGTGGAAAAGTCATATCTCAGAGATAATTTGTCCAAAAATTCTGAAACTTAATATTCAAACCAGTCTAATTGAGATCATGATGTGAGCCAATTTAAGCTAAAACTCAAAAGTTTCATTTTATCGAGAAAAATGATTGCTGAAGGAAAATGGTTGTGAAAAGTCGATATTTCAATCGTATTATAGCTTGCACCATATTTTCTTGATC